CTTAGCTGGGGTTCCACTAAAAGCAGAGCCTGAAACAAGGAATAAGATGCATGTTAGTTTTCCCTAGAAGTAAGAGGGAGGGAATAGTGGGAATAAGGAGGGGTTGGAGGAAAAGCCAAATAATGTTCCTAAAGGGTACCTAAGATTCCTGCCGTGGAAAATAGGACCTCTGAGAATGCCTAGTGCTTCTCAGAATTGCCTGTTCAAAAGATCGGTGGCTGGAATACTTATCACACAGATTGCCCTTATCACACAGAACTAACAGGTGTTAGTCCCCCTATATTTCTGTGCTAGGCCTGAGGAATCATGAAGCAGGCTTCTGCAGCTCTGGAGAAGGCTCTGAGGCAGAAATTGGGATGATTCACAGTGTTCTGGAGGTGGGACAGCCCTGGCCCAGCCTAGGTTTCCTAGGAACTGTCCTCTAAAGCTATAGTGAAATCAGAAGGGGGCATGAGGCTCCAAACTTCTCTTCTACAAAGAGTCCTTCTGATAAGCCATGGAAAGCATCAGAAAGTGAAAAATGGTACTAGCAAAAGTGAATGCTTTCCCCAAAGATAAATCAGATATTTGGTTTTCTGGTAGCTTTGGCGCTTTGGCTTAGTTTCTAGATTATTATTAATCTAGCCACTAGATTATTGTAACCAAAGTTAAATGAAACAAAATAAAAGTGCAAGGACATAGAATCTTCCCCCTCCCAGAAGTTCTTACCAGGGTTAGAATCACAAGGGTTTTAAACTTGGTTACCTATATAGTCACAATACTGCCACAAAAAAAGATGTGGCTTCACTAACATAATATACCACTGCATCATTCAATTCTCTACACCTATAATCACCGAACACTCTAGTCAAAGCCTGATCGATGTAAGCTAGACTCTTCCATCTTTTCTAATGTCCCTATAGTCAGGCTGACGTCACAGTATACTGAAAATGACAAGTCACAACTTACCCTAGGAACATGATACAGGAAATTAAACTCAGCATTAAGGAGCTAAAAAGTTTTTGGTTTCTATTTGAAGGGGGCAAGTTGGTTGGTCTATCTAGTCTGACAGTAAAAGGCAAAATCATTTTAAAATAATAATTTCTGAGTAATTCAGTTACATATTTAATGCATGGCTGTAATTTCTATCCAACCAAAGTACTACCTAAGGTTGCCAGATGAAATACAAACATTGCATGGGACATGCTTATCCTAAAAAAATATTCATTAGTTATTAGAAATTCAGATTTAACCAGACATTCTTTATTTTTGTTTACTAAATCTGGCAACCCTAGTGCCACCTCAAACAAGAACAGAGAAAGAAAGAACTGCTCACTGAAACAGACCCTAAGTGTTTTGGAATGATGTCCCATATGTTTTAGGACTTTCCAGTAGCAGCAATATTAATAAATTGATATCTGAATTAACTGTAATGGTCTACATATTGTTTTCTTAGGCATGTTTTTAAAAACTTTTTAAAGCATTTCAATAATTTATTTTGTCACAACATGGCAATTTGTATCTTGAAAAAATATTGTGATGGTAAGAGGAAAATCCCATTTCAAATCATTTCAAATGAACTTTCAAAAGACTCTCATTTACTTCAGTCAAGTAAGCATATCTTAAAATGTTTTCATATTATTCACTTATTCTCTTATAAATAAAATGGTAATCAACTTGTAAGTCCCAGAACCGTCCTGCAAAACTCTTTGATAAAAGAAACATCCAAAAAACACATAGAGAGTCACATCATTTTAGTTGCAAGATTCTTGTTCCAGCTCACTTTCCAAAACAATTTCAGTCAAGTAGAAATGCTCTGACAGTCCTCACTTAGAATAGCAAATAATCCTTGCCTTTTCATTCATTCACTCATTACCTCTCTAAAAAGAGAATGTGCAGTTACCAGAATTTTATACAATTAGTGCTCCAAGAGTGTTTTAAATGCAAACCTATAAGAGGAAAGTAAAAACAAATCAAAGTTAATTGTGACTGGCTGGAACAAAATGCTGAAATCAATAGAAGGATGGCTCATCTGCTCATCATTTACCCATTACCTGGGAGACGAACACCTCCTGCTGTGCTTGATTTTTGATACAGATTTACCATTGCCTGTGTCCTACAGACACACGCTAAGGAAACCCAGACCTTATTTGGCTCCCTCTCTCATTATCTTCTTTGCACTTAATAACCTTACTCATTCTTATTTTATTATTGCTTGTGTGCTCTTCTTTGCAAGGTAGGCCTATACACACACTCAAAATTAGAGTTTTAAAACCTTATAAAGCAGCTAAGGACCTTACTGCAAAGCAGCCAGAGAAGGCACCAATATCTATCTATGAATTGCTGTCTTCCCTCCACTAATCATAACCTGATTATTATGATTTTTCAGAAACCCCCTCAAATAGAATACAACTTCTTTCACAAAGCATTCCTTGGGGAAAAAAATGTTCGTTAAAATATTAAGATAGTAGAATCAAATGAAGAGAAATAAAAGCCCCCTTATTTGGAAATATAAGGTAGTAAATTCTTTACTGAAATGGCGGCCTTTAAACCCAGACACAGTTTCCAGGTGACAGACTTTGGGGAACAGTGATGGGCAGATACCTCCTCAGAGTTGGAGCCTCTGGCTTTTGAAGGCCACGAATACTCTTCACTCTTATCAATGAAGACAAACTCATCTTGAGACCTATGCTGCCTCTCTGCAAATGCCCTTTACCATAGCCAAGTACCAAACAAATGGAATGTAAAACGTACCTGCAATTGAAGGTTAATACCTATCCCTGAATTAAGTATACACCAAATTTAGGTATCTCTGCACAAGATGATTGTGTTGATACATTACTTTTTTCAGACGATCGTACAAGTGAAAATCTTGCAGCTGTATCCTACTAGTAGTGGCAGTAGTGACGATTTCCAAGGAAAAAAGATGTAAAAGATCTTTGAAATAAATTCTAGTTTTTCTCATTCTATTTGACAATTAAACAGATGATGTGTAACTACTACCACCATATATTTACTGGCAATTACCTTCTGTTAGCTTTCTAGCTATGTTTTTTACTTGTACACATGGATTAGCTAATATAAGAACAAAGAGATGACCACATGTGAATAGTAAATGGACTAATGCTATATTACATTTTTAGCCAAGTACACCCAAATAGGCCAACCGGTCACTTGAAAGTTAGAAATATGGTTCCCATTTTTAACATTGGAGTATAAATATAAATGAAAAAACCTAGGAACACATTGATACAACAGAGGAAAACAATAGCATAGTTCAAAGGATGGAAATTTTGATGGTGTACAGAAGGAAAAAGAATAAGGAAAAATCTAATAAAAGTGATAGTCAGCTTTAGCCTTTCAATTGACCATTGGCTTATATTCCACCACCACTCCTCAGTGTGACCATTTTACTTATTTATTTATAGGACAAGACATTCATAACCAATAACAGGGTTGTAATGATAGTAAATGTAGGATTTATGATACATTAAAAAAAAAAAAAAAACCACCTTTAACCAACACTAAAAAGCCACCAAGGATTGGAGTGGAGGGTAGTCACCTAGCTCACGGTTTTATTTAGTGACGGTTCCACTTTTTCACTCACTGCCTGCAAATCAGCATTTTTAGTGGACAAAGGACTCAGCAGCGGCCTTATGATTGCTTCTTTTCAAATGGTAATGGCTATCCTAACTCCTCTGCCAGGTTTTTCTTACCAGAGCACAAATTGCAGTTTACAAGGCTCTGAGGGGGAAAAAAATCTTAGCTGAATATCTTTTTTTTTATTCGACAAACTGACATGTAAATTACCCTTTAAGTGCTCCACTCTAGGGCTCTGATCATCTCCTAATTGTCACAGTCAATTGTAGCCAACAGTCTCTTCAATCCCAAGCGCTTTGACAACAAGCACAAGGATCAAAGCAGAATCAGCTCCCTGCAATATCCTTCTGTTTAGGATGCTACAAAACGCCCGCAAAAGAAAGGTGTAAGGGCATTGCTGTAGAGGAAACTGAGAGTAGCAAGTATTACAATAGTCATTTTCGTCATCTCTGAAATTATGCTGTATAAGCTGCCATGATCTTTAATCACATGTGCAGAACAAATACATAAACCTCCCGGGCAATTAATATGCTCTTAAGATTATACTAATAATCGAGCTTTACAAACAACACGGTCTCCATGGCTTAGGAAAACTATAACACCGTTATGGGATAGCAATCATTTCATAGCAGCTTGAGTATCAAAAACTATTGTCAAACATACTCCATATTTCAGCATAAATTCTAAAGCACAGTTTTGATTACTTGGTTTGGTGTCAGGATTCACTGCTTCTCCAAACTAAATAGCCCATTGCAAATTCTAGAGTTTCTTAAAAATTAACCTAGAAATGTCCAACTGGAAATGTGGCACCAAATCAATTAAAAATGTGACACAAAAACTAATTTCAGAAAAATAGATCTTTTTTTTTTTTTTTTCTTACCAGAGGTAACTCTGTCTTACTGCTTTACTGGAAGCAAACTTATTAAAAGTCATTACATGATCTACAAACATAATCCCTAAATAAGATGTAACTATCAGGATCATTACTTTATAAAATATATCAATTCTTTCTAAGGTAGTTATCACATATCACTAACTTTTTAAAAAGAATACTAATGTTTTTTCAAAAGATACATAATTTAATCCAATCAATTATAACAATATAATAATTCAGTAGAGAGAAATATCTGATGACAAATCTGTATAAAATAGCTACTTTAAAAATAGCCTAAGGGTTGTCAGCAAAATGACAAATGGAAAGAAATCAAAGACGTATTTGATACTCCCCTTACAGCTTGTCTTGTTGTACCCAGGTATTATGCACATACAGCATGTAAGGTCACACATTGATTGACAGCCCTCCTATGCTAAAGAAAAGAACTGAAAAAAGAGGCAGCACGTGGCAAATACCTCAGGTTCCTTTCTCAGCTAGTTCACTCAAATCCCCCTGTAGGGGTTTCCAATCCTCCCCTCAATTTCACCTTGAATTCTCTGGTTTGATTGAAGAGCTTCACAGAAGGGTCTATTACAGATTGAGGAATGATCCATTTCACATCCGAAGCTCCAAAGAGCTACTTGTGAGGAATCTTTGAGTGCATTTATCTCACATGTGAAGCTTTCTGCAAAATCAATATGGGTGTTTTTCAGTTTGACAAGTCAACATGAAATATCACATAATAATAGAAAAACAGAGTTGTACATTTAAACACAGCCAATACAGTTATCTATGACAAAGCTTATAGTTATTACTTATGGATATTCTTGAATATGTCTGCTCTAAATTCATCCTGATGGCTGAGCTAAAGAGCATAGAAAGTGTAACTGACTGGCCATCATATTTCTGGCTGTTATGTCCTAATTAATCCAGGTTTTGTGGTGAGGGCAGAGAATGGGCAGGAATCATGGCCTTTGCTTCTAATGTGAGATTGATATGATAAGAGGAAGAAAGTAACCAAAGGTGAAAAAAAAAAAAAGAAAGAAAGAAAGAAATAGAACAAAGGAGAATTATTTTAAATAATTCACAGTTAACTAATTGGCGAAACTGGGTAAAATGATCACCCAAAGAATGACAACCATGTCTTAAATCCCCACCACAACTGAGGCAAGTACTAGCAGAATAACTGACATATTTGTGAGTAAGTGACGTATTTGTGTTGGGGTCTGACAATCTTTGGGTGAATTCCAAGTTTATTTTACCATCTGCATAAGCTTGAGGAACATGATTTCTCATCTCCAAATCTCTGTTTTTTCATTTTGAAATGGGATTAATCATAAGATTTTATCTTGTACGCTTTCATGAGAGTTAAACAAGATGCTGCATAAAGCACCTGGCACATAGAGAATGTTTCACTGTTGGTAATTATTGAAGAAATTATTATAGTTTCATTGAACCCATTCACCACATCCCTAGGGCTCTAACCTGGTGCCACTTCTACTGTCCCCTGGGACCTTTCTACATTGTTTGGTGTTCCCAAGTGGTAGATGACAATTCTGGTCAGAGTGTGGTCACTGAACTAGCTCTGGTCCTTATAGAAGAGTGCAGTGCTTGTCTTAAAAACAATCTTCCTCCAGCCAGGAAGGCTGTCCTCATCAACCACATGGGAGAAAACCAGATGGGAATGTGAAAAGGAAATAGAACTCAGGCGCAGAGTCCAAATCAGCTGATCAATCCAGGCAATCAGTGAGGTGAGAGATGGAGAGAAATGTCACATATGGTTTTTCTTCATATGGCAGTATGTTACAATTAATAATGGAGTTATCTCTATATACCCCACGATAGGAAAGACCTTAAAAACAAACAAAATAAACAACCCTCAGGAGAAACCCAGATCTAGTTAAATAGATCAGAGTAACTATTTATTCCTCTCTCACATTTTTCATAACCTATCATTATGTAATACCTGATTATCTGTGCTTGGGCCAACTAATTTGTAGAATACTTGAAATATATTTCAAATTTTTTTTAATTAAAAAATTTTGATTTTAGGTTAACTCTCCCCACCACTCAGAATAAATCCAGAGTAGACAAAACATGTGAGCTCAGAGTCATAAAAATTCATGTTAAAAACAAAATAAGAAAGAACATCAGGCCAGGCGCGGTGGCTCATGCCTGTAATCCCAACACTTTGGGAGACTAAGAAGGGCAGATCACCTGAGGTCAGGAGTTCAAGACCAGCCCGACCAACATGGTGAAACCCTGTCTCTACTAAAAATACCAAAATTAGCCGGGCATGGTGGCACATGTCTGTAATCCCAGCTACTTGCAAGGCTGAGGCAGGAGAATTGCTTGAACCCGGGAGGGAGAGGTTGTAGTGAGCTAAGATCGTGTTATTGCACTCCAGCCTGTGCAACAAGAGTGAAACTCTGTATAAAAAAAAAAAAAAAAAAAAAAAGGAAAAGGAAAAACATCATTATAAAGCACAATTGAAGTTTAAAAACTCATATCCTATATTCCAAACTCAAATAACTAAGTATAAATGACTTTGTGTTTAACTAATTCAAACAATATATATCAAGAAATTAATATATGCAATACTGTTAATTTTTTAGCTACCCTACTGTTCTCCATTATTAAAATTAAGCTACAGCTTTCATTCCAAAGACAAATTAAAATATTTTCTTACATGCTGATATAGAATTACAGGTACAAATCGAAATAATTTCCTACTTAAAAAGGGTCATTTCTTTAAAATTTTATTTATTTGATTTGGATTCAAAATACATCTTTACTAAGGAAACAAATTTATAAATAATCATTAAGTTCGCAGATTGACACATAAAAACATGTTTAATGTAAACTGTATCTGAAACACACTAGTAATACCAAGTCTTGAGCAACTCTAGGTTATAAGGTCTATAAATAAATTTAACCATGTGAAAGCTTAGGGAGTATCATCGGGCACTAAGTTTACAAATTTTGGGACATACCAGGCAAGAGATCAGACAGAAGGATGGATCAGTTAAGAGTTCATGTGATCACCATTCTTATCACCACCACCATGTCAACATCATCATCATTATCATACCATATTTCACCCAACATATTAGTACAGCATAACTATTAAAATGATAATGGTAGGTAGCCAATAAGATGACATCTCATCGGCCGGGCGCGGTGGCTCAAGCCTGTAGTCCCAGCACTTTGGGAGGCCAAGACGGGCGGATCATGAGGTCAGGAGATCGAGACCATCCTGGCTAACACGGTGAAACCCCGTCTCTACTAAAAAAATACAAAAAACTAGCCGGGCGCGGTGGCAGGCGCCTGTAGTCCCAACTGCTCGGGAGGCTGAGGCAGGAGAATGGCGTAAACCCGGGAGGCGGAGCTTGCAGTGAGCTGAGATCCGGCCACTGCACTCCAGCCTGGGCGGTAGAGCAAGACTCCGTCTCAAAAAAAAAAAAAAATGACATCTCATCATCTTGTATTTTTAAGTGGGTAGAAATGAAGTGTACCAGGATGTCAGAAACTTACTATACTCTCTCTGGCACATAAATATCTTCCATGACTTTTATATTTCCCACTCAGGACCCTGAGCATTTTTAATGTACTTTCATTTAAGCAAATAAAGCTTCTAAAATATCAGTCCACGTTTCAACATCTCCTACTTTTAGATTTTGCCTTGTACTATGGCAAGCCAGACTCCTTAAGCACAGCTTCGGAAGGTCTAGGAAAGAAACTAGCTTAGGACCCATTTAGCATATTCCTTAGCATTCTGGTAGTACCACAATATCAAGGTGAATATTTGCCTTAAAAAAAACTCTCGGTGGAAAATAATTTTACAACTTTTCTCAATTATGTATTTCAAAGTTTATCCTCCTTCAGTATCAGGGTTTTCTGCCTTATCCCATTTCTGGTTTTGATTTTAATTATAAACTTTACTACTCAAAACTATCAGTAATATCTGTCTTTCAGGTACTGCAAGTGTGCCAGTAATAAGCCTCATGTAGTTCAACTAATAAAAATGCTGACTATGGGCACTCGTTCCTGCCACTTGTCCATACATTTCAAGTAAGTACACACTATCCCTATGGTTTGCAATCTAAATGGTTTGCCAAACTAAATGGCCTCTGTCCTCATCATGTTGTATCACAAAACATATGCATGCCCTCACTTTAAATGGAATTAAGCAGAGGCTGGGAAGGAGGAAGAAATAGGGAGTTATTGTCTAATTTTTGGAGTTTCAGTTTTGCAAGATGAAAAGGTTCTGGAGATCTTTTGCAAGGCAATATGCATATACTCAACACTACCAAACTATATACTCAAAAAATGGTAAAGATGGAAAATTTTGTGTTTTTAACCACAATTTTTTAAATAAAAAACTAATAATGTAGTCAAAGTGCTTTAAAAAATCTCATATCCTGTTTTTTAAGTGTTAGGCAACCAGGATCCTATATCTCATACCTAATTTCTTTCCCCTAAAAATGTTGCCTGGGAAATTGTCTCTAGAGTTTTCAGTTCCAAATGAACTAATATATGACTTGACATAGGATAAATTGCACATGAAAATACAGGTCAGACTGGGCGCAGTGGCTCACGCCTGTAATCCCAGTACTTTGGGAGGCCAAGGTGGGGGGTCACGAGGTCAAGAGATCGAGATCATCCTGGCCAACATGGCGGAACCCCGTCTCTTCTAAAAATACAGAAATTAGCTGGGCGTGGTGGTGCTTGCCTGTAGTCCCAGCTACTAGGGAGGCTGAGGTAGGAGAATCGCTTGAACCCGGGAGGCGGAGGTGCAGTGAGCAGAGATTGTGCCATGACACTCCAGCCTGGTGACAGAGCGAGACTCCATCTCAAAAAAGAAAGAAAGACAGAAAGAGAGAGAGAGAGAGAGAGAGAAAGAAAGGAAAGAGAGAGAGAGAGAAAGAGAGAAAGAGAGAAAGAGAGAAAGAAAGAAAGAAAGAAAGAAAGAAAGAAAGAAAGAAAGAAAGAAAGAAAGAAAGAAAGAAAGAAAGAAAGAGAAAGAAAGAAAGAAAGAAAATAAATACAGGTCAAAACTAAGAAAATTAATCAGACTCCGATTATACAATTTCACTTCTCTTCTGAAAGATTCGAAGAGTGAAGGACAAGAAAACCACCACTCCCAGGTGCTCTGTTGTAAGGCTGCAAGTACCATACACTGTTATCATTTAGAAACTCAAAATTTCACTGACTCTTCAGAGGACCAAGCAAAAGTTGAAGCTCATTGAGACAAAAATACTTGCGCTCAAACCAAACTAGTTTTCAGTGGTTTCTCCATTTTTGTAACAGAAGTTCCACAGTACCTTACCGCTCATTTTCTTTAGGGTTGCTGATTTTTTGTCTTTAATATTTTAACCTGATTAATATTTTTACAGTTTTTTAAAAAGTTATATTGTAAAATAAAGACTTTTCAAGATTCAGGGTCATAATGCTTTTTTTTTTTTTTTTAACAAGCTGATCTAATTTATATTTGTCCCACACAAAGTTAAGACACAGAAGCTTCAAAAGAAGCAGACAAAATGGGACCACAGTAGCTTATGGAAACTAGTGACTTTATAATCCTGCTTCATATACACAGAATGAAATCAATCAACAGCAAAAGCACATAGTTCCTTTTTAATGTAAGATCCCAGGGATAGAATGATAGGATAAAAGCTAACAGAC